TTGTTTCTTATATCTCAATGTGAAATTGATGTCATCTTGAAATATGCTGTAATAGTTCCTGGTAGGATTTTTCATGATGTTTGGAGCAGATGATATTTACATTTCTTTGTTTAAAAACATCAGTCTCACACATAATGCTGGTTGAACTCTAGCATCTCTTGATCTGAGAAAATATATAAAAATAGTTGATACTTATATGGCACTACTGTATACCAGACATTGTTCTAAATGCTTTTGTATATTAATTTGCTCAAACCTCCAGACAACTCTATGAAGTAGATTCAATGATCTCAATTTTACAAATGATGGAACTGAAGCACAAAGGAGCTAAATGACTTGGGTGAGATCACACAGGTTGTTAAACAGCAATGCTGGGATTTGCACCCAGCAATCAGGCTCTCACAATAGTGCCGTAATTCACATGGTTTTTATCTTTGAGAAGTCACAACAGCCACTCTAGAGAGATGAAGTGTAGTGTCAGGTTTATGTAAAAATCACATCATCTAGCCACTTTACAGACACATTTTACCTTTTTCCTGTTTTCTTTCTCTCTGGTTCTCCAGCAAATTACATGGTGCCCATCCACATTGAGGGTGGATCTTCCCCACATAGTCCACTCAGACTCACACGCTAATCTCCTCTAGAAACACCCTCACACCCAAAAATAATGCTTTAGCAGGTTTCTAGGTATTTTTAATCCAGTCAAATTGACACCTAAAATTAATGATCACAGGATCTTTGTCAGTTTTATGCATTGATATATCTTAAATGCCTGTTACAATGTCTGGCATATAGTAGGCACTCAATAAATATTTGTTGAATGAACAAATGAATTAACTAATACATGAATAAATGAACAAATGAAATATTTATTTTTATCTATGCAAACCAAACTTTCATTTTCAAACTTGTGCCAAATTCCCACATAGTCACACATTTATTCGTTCAAATAATAATTATTACAGAGTTCCTACTATATATAAAGTACTGTATTTTTTTGTTTGGGGAGGATTAAAAAAGTAAACGAGTGATCTGGTTAGTTGTTAGAAAGAGAGATAAGATAAGATAGAAGGTTGGGTTTCCCAGGAAGCAGATTCTCAGGTAGAGATCAATGTGTGAGAAGTTGATGAGGGTGCGCCCTTGTGGAAGGGAAGAGCAGGAAGCAGGATAGGGCAGAGGGCGAAGTCAAACTATGAAGCAATCTCTACAAAAGCTTCAGCTGACCACCCAGAGGAGTTCTGAAAATGAGATGACCCTTTAGAGTTTTATCTCACTGGAATCAGGGGCACTGGTCTTTGTATTCTGAAAGATGAGTCATTGAAAAGATGTGCCCTAGAAAGGTGGCATGACCTTGACAAAGGCATCTTTCTTCAGCAGAGGCAATTACTGAAGGGGGCTGGTCTGAATGCCGTCTGCAGACAACACTCTCGGGACCATGGGTAGCATATTCTTAATTCTTGAAGGTGGATCTGAGTCGTGCGTCACAGCACACACTGCAGACTGGAATGCAATTAACTACAATATATGGTAGAAAGTGACATTGTCCTGAGTTGTTTTATAAAAGGATTAGAGATAATCATTATTTCAGTATGCTAAAACTTTTAAAATTACTTAAATATTCAATGAGAAGTGACTGATTAGATAAGTTATGAAATAGCCAAGCAAGAGAAGGTTGTGCAGCCATTAAATATTGTGCTCTTACCAATATTCAAGGAAATGGAAAATGTTTATTAAGTTAGAAAATAAAGGGACAAAATGACATAAAGTGGACAAACACTTAAATGTATTCTTTAAATACTGGGGAGAAATCGACCACGCCAAAGTAGTGATCTGGTTGGGATTAGTGGTAATCTTCTTTTCTGTTTTTCCAAATCCTGCGTAATGAAAATATATTTGCTTTATAATCAGAGGAGTGACTTTTTGAGGAAAGATACAATAAAACATTTTATTTTCTACTTTCAGATATTTGCATCCAGAAGGATTGCCTTCTGACTACACAATCAGTTTTCTATTCCGAATTCTTCCTGATACTCCACAGGAGCCATTTGCTCTTTGGGAGATTTTGAATAAAAATTCTGACCCATTGGTTGGAGTCATTTTAGATAGTAAGTATATTTACTTATATAACATTTGCACACACACGTATGAGTGATCTATGTGGTACGCCATCTTGCCTGTGTGTGTCTAATGCAGAGTACCTCACTTATCTTATGTGATGTGCAAATACTAAACAATGAATTATGTATTAGCACTTGATTCAATCTTTTGTTCCCTCACTCTTTCAACAAATATTCCTTGAGTTCCCACTTTGTGCCAGCACACTGAACTCTTGGATGCAGTAGTGGGCAAGGAAAAGAAAGACAAACAGTTTTTACTGAGATAGTGAAGACTAAAGAAAGAACAAGGTTCATGGAAGGGCAGTGGGAGGAGTGGGACCAGAAGTTTATTTTTTGGATGTGGATATGATAAATGTGAGATTGCCTGTTTGATATCCCAGAGAAGATGTCAGACTGGCAGCAGCAGATTTAGGAAGAATTTTGGGGTGGAGATATAAATTTGGAAGTTGTGTGTGTGAGATGCATAAGCCATGGTACGGGGCAAGGTCACCCAGAGAGTGAGTCTAGAAAAAGAGAGAGTAGGTCTGGAGGCTGGGAAACTCCAAAGTTTGGAGGTTGGAACACTGAGGAAGAACCAGTGACGGAAGCTTCTCAACCTCATGCTCTTGGATATTGCACATGATGAGCACTTAAGAGGATCATCAAGTTTTTGGTTAATGTCACTGGGTTTTCTAAATCTGGTTTTGGTTTAGGATTTCAACAAAGCTAGCAAATAAAATTTGGAGGCTGTTGCTAGGTGTTAACTCAAATATTTGGGTAAGGAAAGTATTTTAAGCTTATTTCCAACTAGTATTTTTTAAAGAACTTTTTGGTATATGGGAATGAATCAACAACTAAATATGATATTGTGAAAGCACTTTGCACTGATATTGAAATGAAGGGAAAGCTGTAAATTAAAATGGTATGTTACTAACTC